TTCCTTCCACCCTCCCGGTATCGCCACTCTCACCACTGGTCTTGAGGGGATCATCTGTCCTGGATTCCCATGGCAGTAGGCTTTTGTTGGCATTTCCTGCAGGGCACATTGCAACCTCCGTGCCCCAAATTGTGGGGTCCTCCCCTTTCCAGGAAGGGGAATCATTCGTGGAAGAGCGGTGGAAAAGTTTCCCCTGAACCCTGCCCTGCTTCTGGGCTGCCTGGGAGCGCATGTCAGCTGCAGAATGGGGGTGGGTGGGTGCGGCTCTTACCGAGAACTGCCATACTGGGCCATGCTGTGCCCAAAGCCGGCTCCGTCTTCATGGAAAACCGTGGGCTCTTCCACATCCAGGTTGAATCCGTGACAAGAAGCCAGGACTGAGGGACATGGGTACGGGATGGAAGTCAGAGAAACCCCCTCCCAATCAGAGGCATCTCTTTTCCACTTGTTTTCAGATTTGCCACCGGCGGGCTTCCCAGCCACCTTCCCTCCCTCAAAAATCATCAAACCACAAGGCAGAAAAGCCTCCATCGGGGGGAGAGTCCACTCCAGTGCACTACAAAGGACACCCCCCACCTGAAATCCAGCCAGGTAGATGAACCCAAGAATGTCCGCACACCTTTCTCTTCTAACCTGGGACCTTCTGAGAGCATAGAAGGTCACCTGATGGAAAGACGATCTCGTTCCACCTTCTTCTGCAGACGGAGACCCCAAAGTCCGCAATGGGGAGCAGAGTTAGACTCCTTTGATGAATTCTTTGTAATTCTTGGTTTCTCCGGCCCGCCCCCATGAGGGTCAGGCTCTCAGGGGACAGAGGCGGCTCCTGTATGGTCCTTGGGCGAGGAGCCTTCGTGGCGCACTGGCTATGGGTTGGTCAACCGTATGAAACCCCCGGCACTCCCTGGGAGAACTGCCAGACTTTCTACTCCGGCAAAAGGCCACCCTCTTGGAGCCCCCCTGGGGAGCAGCTGGGGTGTTGCTCTCAGCTGGGATCATCTTGGTGGAAGTGAACTTGTCCTTTGATGTGTGTCGTGGTTCCTGGCGCTTGTTGTGGTCGCATCCGGTGCCATCGAATAACTACCTGGCACTCAGCAAGTGTCTGACTGGCATCCGTCAACCGGCTCAGAGTCCCCCAACAGATGACAACCAGGATTCCAACCCACTCTCCTGATCCTTGACGGAAGACAGGTTCCTCCCTGAGAGCCTGGGAAGCTGGGAAGCTCGGAAACGGCATCCGGCTGATGCCAACTCATAGCCACCGGAGAGGGCAGGGTAGAACTGCCCCTGTGAGTTTCCAAATGGGAGTCCCAAGCCCGTCTTTCTCCCTCAGAGCAGCTGGTGGTTTTGAACTGCTCATGTTACCTTCACAGCCCCAGGTGTAACCTCTCTGCCACAAGGACTTTTCATTCGGGAAGTACTTATTATGAATCAAATTTTGTGCCCCTCAAAGATGTGCTGTACCTCCTAACCATTAGACCTGTAGCTATAGTCCCGTTTTAAAAGCTTGGAAAGACTCCTATATTTCAAAGATTTTCCCTGACTAACCTGCTCCTAAATTGCCATTTCCCCCCTCTTCATTCGTTGGAGAATTTCCAGCTCTCTCTAGGTTGTGATTCGGGAGTCAACTCCAAGAATAGGACAGCTCGAGTTGAGAACGTGTCGAGCCAGGCATGGCAGAGAGGGTATAGAGCAGGAACTCTGGGGTCCGGGGAAGAGGTCCCAGGAGGGGGGTGTTCCCTTCTGCTGTGCACAGGTGGCTAGAAGTCAAGAACTGACTCGATGGGACCAGCCACACAGGAAGGGGTTGACTCTTTAGGGCGTTGGCACCCTATTCCAGCCACATGCAAGAGGTCCTTCCATCCTGTGCTGTCCTGCCTTCAGTGACTCTGTCTCTGAGCCTGACACCAGCTCTGATGGACACCCAGGGTCCCAGACAAAGGGTCTCGGGGGCCAGACAAGTGACATCAGTGATTGAAGGGTTGGGTGTCCGTGCCAAAGAAGGGTGGCACCTGTCGAGCTTGTGTCCTTTCTAAGGGAAGAAGCTTCTACTGGGCTTCAGGACCCAGAGCTGACAGAAATGCCCATTTTTCAAGAGATGTTAGAAATCGGAATGCTTATGCAAAATCGCATCTTTCCATGACATGCGATGCTTGAAAGTGGTTCTAATAGTTTTCCATATCTGCACCGTTCCTTTGGGAGGAATATGACTTGAAATCATGAGGCGCCCCCACGGACATGGAATACAATCTTATCCTTTATCTAGGAGCTTCTGTGACCTGATCTTTCTCCAGGATGCTGGGACAGACGTCTCTCACACACACAGCACAGCACCCACAACAGGGGGCCCGCCCCCCATGTGCTGGAGGATGGGAGGGCTCCGTGAATGTAGCCATTTGAAGAAGGGAGCTCACCATCCACCTGAGCCCGTCTTTACACATCTCTGTTTTCAGGTTATACCCGCTCCCAGATTCCTGGCCATTCCTCCTCCCACGCCAGATGCTAGGCAGCAGGTCCACTTCTGCCTCCAGGCCCTCTTGATTGCTTGATCGTACGAGTTGACCCACTGGCCCTCAGTCCCTCCCACCAGACAGAGGACCCCATTCCCAACCTCTCCCCTGCCCGTACTCACCTCCCAGAAGGAGTACAGCTGGAGAGGCCATCACTGGGTGGCACATCGAGGAAGTGCAGGGCTGGGCCACGGGCGTTGAATGGTGCTGTGTGTCCTGGGGGGGGGGGTGTTAATATAATGACGCAGAGCCCCCCCACGTGGAGGGGGAAGGAGCACAATGGGGAAGAGGACGTTGGCCAACCATAAAACAGAAGTGGGGCAAAAGGCCAACACCAGTTTGGGGGGACAGTCCCTCATCATCCTTGCCCCCTCACCTACAGTGACTTGGCTTCCTTCTCTAGGACTTAGCTGCCCCAGAAGACCATCCTTCCCCAGTCCCTGTAGACCCTCCAAGGGGCCTCAACACCTAGCTTTCCGTGGAAGAGGAGGGGAAAAAACAGTTGAAGAAGGCTCCATAGCATGGATGTCAGTTGGAGGGGCAGGCGATTGCTTTAAGAGAGCACAGGGAGAGACGACCAGGTGTTGTTTGAAAAGGTAAATCTCCATCAAGAGGGGAATGGTACATCCAGAGAGGAGAGGACCCAACAACCTCATCAAAAAGGCACAATTCCTTCAAAGGAAGTTCAGGAACAGGCAGCACGGCTCTATGAAGAATAGGTGTGGCATCTGGGCCGGGTGGGGAGGCACTAGTGACAGTTGTTTAAGTGAACTCCTACTATTTTGGCACTTGTTCATTGAAGGGGGCAGGTAAGTTGGGTGACTGCTATCGATTTTTTTAGCGGTTTGATTGGCACCCCACCTACATGTCATATAATTCAGCAGTTCAATCAAAGCAAGAAGAGTTGGACAATCATCACCACGATCAATCTCAGAACATTCTCTTCCTCCCTGTAGTCATTGTAATTCATGTACTGTAATGGCTTTTTTCAACTGTGTCAAAAATAGACACAACAGAAAGTTCTTTTTTAAAAAATATCTTACACTAAATTTCCATCTTTTTTTCCTTTTTTTATATCGTTTTATGGGGGGCTCATACAACTCTTGTCACAATCCATACATCCATCAATTGTGTCAAGCACATTTGTACATTCGTTGCCCTCATCATTCTCAAAACATTCTCTCAACAACTTCCATATGCATCATTCAGTGCCATTGATTCTAGATGGTTGTACAACCGTTAGTGATAGCCTTTTCCGAATTATTCCACCACCACTAACAGACACTCAATGCCCCTAAGCAGCATCTCCGTCTCCTTCACCCCATGGTCACCATTGGTCAAGTTTGGTTTCTCTCTCTTTTTTCTAGTAGTTTTCCTGCTGTAACACTCACATACAATCCACTTCCACAGCTAAGTCACGTTTAAAAAGAGTTGTACATACGTCATCACAATTAGTTCTAATGCTCCCTCCCCTGCTACTGATTCATTCATTTTCTGTGCGCCTGAACTACCCCACCATTAACCATAAGTAGATCTGTAAGTGTTTTTAAAAAATGTGGAAGAGTCCAATGTATAAAATAGCTGATAGCATCTCTCTGATATAGAGTTTTAATGTATACATGTGACCGTTACTGAAAACATTTAAGATATGACTAAACCTCAAATATGGGAGCTACCGTTGAGTTGGCCCTCAACTCGTGAAACCTCATGGGCTATGGGAGCCGACCAGCACGAGCCAACGGGTTTTCATTGGTCTAGTTTTGAAAGCGATTATTTGTCTTCACCTCCAACATTGATTCTCAACCTTCCTCAACCCTTTAATACAGTATCAACCCTTTGATACAGTATCAACCCTTTGATACAGTATCAACCCTTTAAGACAGTATCAACCCTTTGAGACGGTATCAACCCTTTGATACAGTATCAACCCTTTAAGACAGTATCAACCCTTTGAGACGGTATCAACCCTTTGATACAGTATCAACCCTTTAAGACAGTATCAACCCTTTAAGACAGTTCCTCAGGTGGTGGTGACTCCCCAACCTTCAAATTATTTTTGTTGCTATTTCATCACTGTCATTTTGCTACTGTTCTGAATCGGCGACCTCTGTGAAAGGGTCATTCCACCCCCAAAGGGGTCATGACCCACAGGTTGAGAACCGCTGGCCTAGAAGCTCTACTGGAACCCATGTGACTTCACAGTAGAATGCAAACTTCCAGTGACGGCTAAGGGACAGCTGCTTTTGAGGTGCTTTGGTTGAGAATCAAACCTGGGTCTCCCACATGAAAGGTGAGAATTCTATCAACGAACCATGATCACCCTCAAACCTCAAGCCCGTTGCCTTCAAACATCAAGAATAGAAAATACCATTTTCCAAACAAAGATTTTTACCTCCAACGATTGTTTCTCAATTTACTTGAGCTGATATATAATGGACAGAAGAAATTCATTTCCACCCTGGAAAGGCATCGATGGTGTCTTTGCCAACAACAGGGCCAAAGGTTGTGATTGCTGACTTTGAGACTAACTTACTTCCTACTTAGCAGTGATGTGTTGGGCTGCTAACCACAAGGTCAGCAGTTCGAAACCGTCAGCCGCTCCGTGGGAGACAGACGAGATTATCTACTCCCATAAAGAGTGACAGTCTCAGAAACCCATAGGGGCCACTCTGCTCTGTCCTATAAGGTCGCTGTGAGTCAGAATTGACTCCACAACAGTGAGGGGAGGTGGAGTTTGAACCTACATCCTTGCAAAGCCTGTCACGGCCAAATGGAGCCGTAGGCTTCTCCCTCCTGCCCTACCTGATCCATAGCAAGCGGCATCCTTGTCCCCAATTCTGTGGCTCGATGGTCTCTTTGTGTACCTACGAACGTCTGTGTGTGGAAGTTCTGCTACGCCTCATCCTTTGGCCCCAATCTTGAAGCAAATCTTCACAAGCTCAGAGGCTCTGGAGGGACAGTGGCCACAGTGCTTGGCTGCTAACAGACAGGCTGGCCGCTCCTCAGGAAGAGGACGTGGCCGTCTGCTTCCACTAATACCTGCGGCCATGGAAACCTGGGGGCAATTCTTCTCTGTCCGTAGGCCACTGAGTCAGAGCTGACCCCACTGCAATGAGTTTCCACAAGTAATGCTTAGCGCTAAAATCTTGCTGATGTTAGAAATGTCAAGCTATCCAACTTTGCCTCACTAAGCATTCAAGTCAGCACAGTTTGTTTCTTTTTCATTCATTTCTAGAGAACGATAAGGTCAAAATGCAATAAAATATTCCAATACTTGCAAAAAAAA